GTTAGTTGCCAGAGCAAGATTTCTCATTTTCATTTAAGTTTTTCAACTAAATATTTTATATGATTTCGGCTTTATTCTGAAAGTGATAGTATGTGTTTACAGGGGTGCATCTCTATTTATGATCTCAGCCTTTAATGAATGTAAAGCAGGCATATGGGACGCGGTTTATTTATTCATCAGTTCTTGGCTCTGGTGAATATGTTGGCGGCCTGCTTTGATATGAAGCCAGAGTTCGTTTCCCTCTGATCTTATATTAATTACAGGACTCATGACAGCTCTGAAGGCATTTTATGTAATAAAAACATAATTTTCATCCACACCTGCGAGGTGCTTCCACATGGACACTCGCTGAGAGCCAAATGTCAGTAAAAACTGCTCTGCCGGGTCACGCGCCAGCTGGACCGAACCGCAACATTATATGAGCTTTAGAGAGAAATACATGAAGATAATCTGATGTTAATGATGCGAGTGAATACAAACCCTCTGCTGAAAACGTCACTCACAACCGCGGCTTCTTTTCATGACTTTAACCTCAACTTCATGTGTCTTGAGAAAGAGATGCAGCCTGGATGAACATCCACCCTAATAAACAAACAGACACACAAACAAACAAATAAACAAACAAACAAACAAACACACAAACAAACAAATAGCATCCTCTTCCTACTATCCCTGTTAAAAAATTAAATTAAATGAATGAATAAATAAAAAAAAATTACATTCTTTACTTTTCATACTGTCAAATACATATATATATCAGCGGCTGTGATTAGGCCAGAGGCACGAGGCCGCTGATGTAGAGCCGGTATCGCTCGAGTACGAGAGTGATATTGCGTTTATACAACAGTTCGACGGAACATGTGTGTAATTAAACAAGAAACTACGGAGTGCCTAATAAAACCCTCTTTTGTGCGGAACTACTTCCTTCCGCCACGGATTCAAAGCTCAAGTTGAGAGTTAAACATGCGTCACTTTTAGAATTGGTATCAAGGGCATGTGCTGCTTCAGTTAGGCTATTAGTGAGAAATAATGAGGTTATTAGTGAGCAACAATGCGGCAAGATGTGCATCCGAATGAGAGAGAGAGAGACCGCAAAGCTAAATGTTTCTTCTTATATTAACTAACATACTCTATGATTAGCTCAGTGAATAATAAATAAACATAGACCCGGCTAGAACACGCGGAGTGATACAAAATGGTGAAAGGGCGTTCCTGTAGCGATACCAGTACAATATCTCATTATCTCAATATCAGATTTGAGAACCAGAACGAACTGTTGTATAAATATATATATATATATATATATATCACAGCAAAATTGAGTTAAATCAACTCATATACACACACATATATATATATATATATATATATATATATATATATATATATATATATATATATATATATATATATATATATATATATATATATATATATATATATATATATATATATATATATATATATATATATATATATATATATATATATATATATATATATATATATATATATATACATACATACAAACTCAAATTTCATCTCTTCATGGCCTAATTCCAAAGGATTTATTACATCCAAAAACAAAGTTCATATATATACTTTTCTATACTGTCCCTGTAAAAAAGGTGAAACAAATGCATAAATAAATGGATAAATATATACATACATAAAGTATGGTTTCAGTGTCAGTACATTTTCTAAAATAGAGTCTATTATGAAACAAAACAAAACAAAACAAAACAAGCAAACCTGATTCTGTTTGTGGTTTTGAAGGGAATTTCATTCATGTCAAGTCAAGTCAGTTCAAGTTTATTTTATTTCAAGCTACAATGTTTAATGTTTTTGTGGTTTATTTTATTATCAGTAAAATAATACAGGTTTTATTCATATATTTTATATATTTTTATTATTATATATATTTTTTCATGTTTTCAATTTTATTTCTGTAATGTTTGTTTATTGTCAACAAATCATATTTCAGTTTTACTTATTTTAGTACATCATCTTAAACTATATAACATAATAACTGAACTAAATAAGGTTTAAGGTTTTTTATATTTTATTTCAGTTAAAGTTTATTTTATTTCAAGTCATTTTTTTTAATAGTAACAATAATAACCTGGTATGTATTTCATAGTTAATAAGGGGATATTTATTATTTAATGAAAAATACCTGATGTTAATGACCTGATTTGATCTGTGAGGAACTGATTGGATGGTGAAAAGCATCTCTATATAAAGATGGCATTAAGTGAAAAAGAAACACACATGATTTTCCTGAGTGCTGACAGAATGAAAGTACTTGGGCTCTGTTGTCGACTCACAGTGTCTGTGGTTTCTGTCTGTAGAACATGATGAGTGTGTGTCCGGTCAGCACAGCTGCGATGAGAACGCTCTGTGTTTCAACACCGTCGGCGGTCACAGCTGCTCCTGCAAACCCGGATACACCGGCAACGGCACCGACTGTAGAGGTGAGACACGCGTCCATCTGCCGTCCCACTCGTCCCCTGACCCATCTGTCCTCTCTCTGACCCATCCCCTGACCCGTCCCCTTACCCATCTGTCCTCTCTCTGACCCATCCCCTGACCCATCTGTCCTCTCTCTGACCCATCCCCTGACCCGTCCCCTTACCCATTTGTCCTCTCTCTGACCCGTCCCCTGACCCATCTGTCCTCTCTCTGACCCATCCCCTGACTCGTCCCCTGACCGGTCTGTCTTCTCTCTTACCCATCCCCTGACCTGTCCCCTTACCCATCCCCTGATGTGTCCCCTGACCCATGCCTTGACTCATCCCCTGACCCGTCTGTCCTCTCTCTGACCCATCCCCTGACCCGTCTGTCCTCTCTCTGACCCATCCCCTGACTCGTCCCCTGACCGGTCTGTCTTCTCTCTTACCCGTCCCCTGACCCGTCTGTCCTCTCTCTGACCTGCAGCGCTCTGTGATGGCCGCTGTCTGAACGGCGGCTCCTGCGCATCTCCCAACATCTGTGTGTGTCCGCAGGGCTTCAGCGGGCAGAACTGCGAGACGGGTAAGAGCCTCTCTCTGATCTCAAACACCTCTCTCAGCTCCTCCAGCCCGTCTGAGGACTCTTACGGCTCGCTGAGAACAAAGCCTGAGTGTGGAGATTGCAGTTTAGAAGAAGAGTGCTTGATTGTGGCCTGTGGGAGTGGATGACACAACGCACATCTTCAGCTATATCGTAGAAACATCACAATATACGCATAAAGTCAACAGGAAGTGCTCTCTATGTATTCAATTCAATTAATTTCAAGTTTATTTGTACAGCGCTTTTCACGATACAAATCATTGCAAAGCAACTTTACAGGAAATTAAGTTTCTTCAATATTTAGTGTTAGCTTATTAGTGGTGACTGTCAGTTAATGTACATATGGCAGAAATGTACAGAAAAATCAATTAAAGACGTAATAAAACAGACGATGAACACTATTAACAGCAATTATTATATGATGCAATCAAACTTATAGCAAAATGTGGTAGTTGTGTATGTTGTTTCAGGGTTGGCATCATCTGAGGTCCTCTGAGGGGTTGCATCATCTCTTCTCAGGTGTTCTGGATCCAGACTGAAGCTTGTGTAAATCCTACAAGGGGCAACATGTATATCGAAAATAGCAGAGGACCTAGGACAGATCCTTGTGGCACTCCATATTTTACTGGTGATAATTTTAATATTCAAAATAATACACAAACATATACAAAAATAATATATGAGTATTTTTAATAATAATAATATTCATATATTAAGATATAATATTAATAAATACAACTTTTTATTTTATAATTTGTGAATATATTTTATTAAATACATTTTATTATATATAAATATATAAATGTGTAATATATAAATATTGATTATAATATTTATTTAATATATATATATATATATATATATATATATATATATATATATATATATATATATAGAGAGAGAGAGAGAG